GATTAAAAAAAAAATTGGAGGAACTACAGACAGGCATGGAATTTTTTTTAAACATATTTCTTTGAAGGACCTACAGACAGGTCGTGGATGTTTAAAAAAATATTTTGAAGGACCTACAGACAGGCATAGATTTTTTAAAAAATATTTTTTTTTGAGGATCTGCAGACAGGTCGTGGATGTTAAAAAAAATATTTTCAATGACCTACAGACAGGCACGGATTTTTTTTAAAAATATTTTTTTGGAGGAACTACGGACAGGCATGATTTTTTTTAATATTATTGTGGAGGACCTACAGACAGGCATCGACTTTTTAAAAATTTTTTTTGGAGGAACTACAAACAGGCATAGATTTTTTTAAAAAATATTTTTTTGAAGGACCTACAGAGAGTCGTCGATTTTTTAAAAAATATTTTTTTGAAGGACCTACAAACATGCGTGGATTTTTTTTTAAATATATTTTTTTGAAGCACCTACAGAGAGGCGTGGATTTTTTTTAACAAAATATTTTTTTGAAGGACCTACAGACAGGTCGTGGATGTTAAAAAAAATATTTCGAAGGACCTACAGAGAGGCGTGGATTTAAAAAAAAAATTGAAGGATCTACAGACAGGCATGGATTTTTTAAAAAGTATTTTTTTGGAGGACATACAGACAGGCACGGATTTTTTTAAAAATATTTTTTGAAGGACCTACAGACAGGCATGGATTTTTGAAAAATATATAGGACCTACAGATAGACATGGATTTTTTTAAATAAATATTTTTTTGAAGGACCTACAGACAGGCATGGATTTTTTTATTTTAAAAAATGTTTTTGGAGGACCTGCAGACAGGCATGGATATTTAAAAAAAATTATTTTGAAGGACCTACAGACAGGCGTGGATTTTTTTTTAAATATTTTTATTGAAGGACCTACAGACAGGCATGGATTTAAAAAAAATATTTTTAAAGACCTGCAGACAGGCACGGATTTTTTAAAAAGTATTTTTTCGAAGGACCTACAGACAGGCATAGACTTTTTAAAAAATATTTTTTAGGGACCAACAGACAGGCATGGATTTTTTAAAAAATATTTTGAAGGACAGACAGGTCGTGGATGTTTAAAAAAATATTTTGAAGGACCTATAGACAGGCACGGATTTAAAAAAAATTTTTTTTGAAGGACCTACAGACAGGCACGGATTTTTTAAAAAATATTTTTTTGAAGGACCTACAGAGAGGCATGGATTTTTGAAAAAAATATTTGTTGAAAGACCTACAGATAGAACTGGATTTTTAAAATTTTTTTTCTAAGACTTATTTAGCTGGCTTGTTACAGAACGATTGTTCCATAAGCCGAGCTTAAGAAAGATTTCCAAGCGCGTCGGTCTTTATGCGCATCTCCTCCAATTTGAAAGACCACGTTCCAAGATGTTGTTTTCTACTTGGTCTTTCCATCTAATTCGTGGCCTTCCCCTTCTACGGGAATCATCAGTAGGCTCGCTTTGGTATGACTTTTGAGCTGGGGCATTCTCATTCATTCGCACAACATGGCCTAGACTTCGTAGTCGATGACCGCGATTAAACTGTAAAGCTCGTAGTTCATTCGACGCCGATATTCGCCGTCAACGCAGATCGGCCCATAGATCTTTCGGAGAATTTTTCTCTCAAACACTCCAAGAGCTGCCTCATCTGCTTGCGTAAGTATCCATGCTTAAGATACATATAATAGCACGGGTAGTATCAGCGTCTTGTAAATACTGAGTTTGGTCTGGCGGGAGGTGGCCATCACAATCCGAATCCGAATTTCAAAACTGATGTCATTCGTTTTATTTATGGCGATACTAAGGCATATAAAACATTTAACCTCCCGCAAAGCTGTAGTTCTCAAGTTCCACAGTTGGTCCGAGTCTACTGGACGTTTTGCGCGTTGATACCATCAGCTTGGTCTTCTCGCCGTTTACTGCCTGACCCACTTTGGCAGACTCATTCACAATTTTTTCAAATGTGGATGTTACCACTCGGAATGTTCGACCCATTATATCGATGTCATAGGCGTAGCCGAGTAACATATCCTGTTTGGTGTACAGAGTGCCATTTTTGTTCACCTTTTCGTCTCGTATGACCTATTCCAGCAGGATGTTAAAAAGATCACACGACTAACTGCCACCTTGTCTAAATCCTCGTTCGGTATTGAAGGGCTCCGTTAGGTCCTTTCCGACTTTAACTTCTGACCTTGGGCCACTTAAAGTTATCCTGCATAGCCGAATTAATTTTTTCAGGAATGCCGAACGTAGACATGGCTTTAAACACCTCTGAACGGATAGGGCTGTCGAATGCGGCTTTATAGTCGACGAATAGGTAAAATGTGTCGATGTGTTTTTCGTGGGTTTTTCCAGGATTTGGCGCAGAGTGAAAATCTGGTCAATGGTGGATTTGCTAGGTCTGAAGCCGCATTGGTATGGTCCAATGATGTCATTGACCATTGGCTTCTGTCGTTCACACAGCACTTTATATGCGATGGGAAGGACACTTATTCCTCTATAGTTGGCACATATCGTCTTGTCTCCTTTTTTGTGCACGGGACACAGGCTGCTGAGGTTCCAATCATTGGGCATGCATTCCTCTAGCCAAATTGTACTAATCAGCTGGTGCATGCTCCTTACCAACATCTGACCAACAGTCTTGAATAGTTCGGCTTGTAACCCATCGGCACCTGCTGCTTTATTATTTTTCAGCCGATTGATTGCTATTCTGACTTCATCTTGGCTAGGTGGTATACACTCTATACCGTTGGTTCTGGGGTATCCACTTCACTGCTACTATTTGATACCAGAAGTTTTTTCAAAATGCTCCTTCCAGATACTCAGCACACTGTCTGTATCTGTTACCAGGGTTCCTTCTTCATCTCTACAGGAGGATGTGCTTGCACCAAAGCCTTCAGTTTGGTGTTTTACCCGTTGGTAGAATTTTCAGACTTCATTCTGACTCCTGTACATCTCGATGTGCTCACGCTCACGTTTTTCTTGTTCTTTCTTCTTTTTTAACGCGTTTCTCCTCTCTCCTTTTCTCCCGATAATTCTCCATCGCATTATGTGTTGCTACTGTCCGCAGGGTTGCTCTATACGCTGTGTTTTTCAGATCAGTAGCATTACGATACTCCTGATCCCACCACGGATTTCTTGAAGGTGATCTTTGGTGCCCAAGTGTTGCTTTTGCTGCATTTTGTAGGGAGTGGGCAATTCTCTGCCACTGTGCTTCTATATTATTATCGGTACAAGAAGTGCTTTCGTCAAGCAGTTGGGTAAATTGAGCTGAGTAGGCTTCTGCTACCTGTGGTGTTTGCAGCTTTTCGACGTCGACTTTCCGTGTTGTGTTAGATCGCACCTTTGCTGCAACATTAAGACGAGTGCGTACCTTGGCTTCCACAAGGTAATGCTCCGAATCGATATTCGTTCCTCGGATTGATCGAACGTCTAAAACACTGGATGAATGCCATCCATATATCACAACATGATCGATTTGATTCCTCGTTGTTCGATCGGGAGAAATCCAGGTGGCCTTGTGTATATCGAGATGCTTGAATATGGTGCTGCTAACTGCCACGTTTTTTGCTGCCGCGAAGTCAATCAATCTCATGCCGTTGTCTGATGTTTCTTCATGCATGCTGAATTTTCCGACGATGAGGCCAAATATATTTTCCCTTCCGATTTTTGCAATAAAATCTTCTAGCAAAATTTTAATGTCATGGCCAGGGCAGCGATCATATGCTGTTTCTAGGCGCTCGTAAAATATGTCTTTGGTCTGCTAATCTTTATCTTCGGTCGGCACAAATGAGACTGATGTAGAAGACCTTCGCTTTTATACGGATTATAGCAATTCACTCATCTACTGGAGTGAATCTGGAGACGACGTCTTTTATTCTCCTGTTAACCATAAATCCGCAGCCAAATCCATGTCTCGTTTCATGGCACTGCTATAATACAGGGCGTAATCATCTGATTTACTTACGCCTGTACCTTTATATCGGATTTCCTGTAAGGCAATAATATCGGCTTTGTACTTCTAGAGTACATCCGCCAAAGCGAACACTGCGTCTGTTGTGAACAACGTGCGCGCACATTTCAAGTGCAGATTCGCAGATCGTGGTCCTTTATTGGTTTTCGGGGGTTGTCAACATTAGGGGGTTTTGGTTTCCTATTTATTTGCTTTTCATGGGTTTTCCGAGTGTGGGCAACTAACCCGACGCCTCAACCCATTTTTTATAGTTCTTATGGGTGAACTTACGGCACATATTAGCTCACTATTTCATCGGGTCATAAAAATAGCTACACCAGGTGCCACCACGGGGAGGTCAGTGTCCACAATTGAGATGAAAGAGGGACCAAGATAAGCCTGGACTTCGCCATGTAAAAAGCCAATCAGAGCCGTTGCTTGGTATCTATTATCCCCTACGCCACTCCACGCCTTGTGTGGATTTTTAAAAAAAATATTTTTAAAAATCCACATCGTGAGAAAATTTCCCATCGAAATATAAATTTTCCCATCACTGCCGCATACCAAAAAAATTTCCATAAAACTTGACAACAAATTAGATTCCAATCTCCAGCAACATCATTACACGCCCACTACGGTGACCAACTCACTCACTATCGACTGCAGTGATGCTGTGCTGCTGCACTGTTTGAGATTGATTACGTAACCAGAAAATAGTCCCGCAATGAAATGCCATCAAATGCATAAATTCGTAGTCAGACACACACAACCTGCTGAGCCCGAGAGAGAGCTCATGAAATTCCGCATACACACACACCCCTCCTTCACCTCATTGATGTTACCACAATAACCCGCTAAACAGGATGGCAAAACAATTCATCATAAAAATAAAATCACAGGCACATATGGTGACCGAGCAGGGGAGAGGTGAAAGGGGGAGGGGGAATTTTATTTAATACACACACACCCTGTCACACATAACATTGTCTACTAACTAACCTTTTCATCTGTTACCAATTACAGCCGTGCAAAATGAACGTCAACCACGAAACACCGCCACCATTCGGCCAGAGACACTGCGGGAGATGGAGCATGGAAGGGCCTTGCGTGAGGCAGCCGTGGCCGTGGGCGTTTTTGGGTAAGTCGGAGTGTGTGTGTGTGTGTGAGAACTAAGTTTTGCATATTCTTGCTAATGAACTAACCTGGTTTTCTCTCCTACCTTTGGGCCATTTTTGTAGACCACCCGTTTTATTGTCGCCGCCTTGCTATGGACCTGCTTTACTGCCGCCACCATGTAAGTGTTGAGAAAGCTACAAATTATGTTACTTTTGGAAACTTCTGGAGAGGAGTGGGGAGGGGATGAAATGCCTATGGGGGCCAAGAGTGTGAAAACGTGCTCTGGTCCACCTCTGCTCACCTCATCCTCCTCCTCCCACCTTGTACGGGCACTTTTCCGCCTAAGTATTTCAATTAACCACCCACTTTGTTTTCTTGCTCTGCAGCTCTTTCTGGCCTGCCAACAGGACGTCTATTACATCACAATCACCTGGCGGCCGCCACCTCAATGCAATTGTCCTCGGGCATGAATCAGAATCCTGGCGGTCCTGGTGGTTTTCCCATGTTCAACAACAATCACCTCTACCACTCTGCAGCCAACAACAACAGCCATGCGAATAGTGTTACCACCAAAGATAGACGTTATCTTGATCTCTCATCGAGTGGCGGTACCATATCGTCCTCGTCCAACTCGTCAAGCAGCAATTCCATAGATCCCTGTTCGCCACCACCCGAAAATGGTAAGTGTGGTCCGCATAATTTGTTTTATGTGCGGCAGGATCCCTACTTACATTTGCATTCGTTTGCTGCAGCTGTGGCCTTGAACAACAACAATAGCAGTAATGAGAACAACAACAACAAAAAGGAGGTCATCAGTGGTGGTAGTGTGTCGTCCATAAGTTCCGCCAGTCCCATAATGGATAATGATGGTAAGACTCAAATTGGGACATTCCAAAAAAGAATTAAAAATAAAATCTCCACTCTCTCTCTCTCTCTCTCTTCCTCCCCTCCTCTCTCACTTTCCCTACAGACGACTCCATTGATGTCACCAATGAGGACGATGACCCTGAACCGATGGCAAATGGTGACAAATCCTTGATGCAATTTGACATAGCCCAAATCATGTCCTCCAATCTCTATGTCCAACAACATGAAACGGTCTATGAGACCAGTGCTCGACTTCTTTTCATGGCAGTGAAATGGGCCAAAAATCTGCCCAGTTTTGCAGGACTTTCGTTTAGGGATCAGGTAAAATCTTTGTTAAATTTTTTGTTCTTAAATAGTAAATAATCCTTAATTTCTTTCCAGGTCATATTACTGGAAGAATCCTGGTCGGATTTATTCCTGCTGAATGCCATCCAATGGTGTCTGCCGCTGGATGTGGCCAATTGCCACCTGTTTTCGGTAACGGAACATTGTAACAATCATGAGGCTTCATCCAATGGCAGTGGGAATAATAATTGTATGACCAAGGAAGAGGTAAGAGTGATGAGAATCCACAGGACCCACAAAAATCCTAGGTCTTCAAAACCAAAAACAACAACATTTATAGAGGTCCTTTGAAAAAATAGTCCTTAAAAAATTGAAAAAAAAAATCCAAACCTCATATCCTTAAAAACCTACGCCTACAGTCCCTGACAAAAATGTCCTTAAAATCTACGACTATAGTCCTTGAAAAAATTTCCTTTAAAAAATTCACGTCTATAGTCCTTGAAAAAAAACTGCCCTTAAAAATCTATGTCTATAGTCCATGAAATAAACGTCCTTAAAAATCCGCATCTAGTCCTAGAAAAAGACCTTTAAAATCTACGCCTATATTCCTTGAAAAAATGTCCTCAAAAATTCACGTCTATAGTCCTGGAAAAAAAATGTCCTCAAAAATTTGGGTCTATAGTCCTTGAAAAAAAATATCCTTACAAATCAACACCAATAGTCCTTAAAAAAAATGTCCTTACATATCTACCCCTATAGTCCTTGAAAAATATTTCCTTAAAAATCTACGTCTATTGTCCTAGGAAAATAAGTTTTTAAAAATCTACGCCTACTGTCCTTGAAAAAAAATCCTTAAAAATCCACGTCTATAGTACTTTAAAACAGTAGCCTATAGTCCTTGAAAAAAAAAATTCCTTATAAATCAATATCTATAGTCCTTGAAAAAATTTCCTTAAAAATCCTCATCTATAGTAATTGAAAAAAGTGCCCTATAGTCCTTGAAAAAAATGTCCTTAAAAATCGATGCCTACAGTCCTTCAAAAAGTCCTTAAAAATCTACGCCTATTGTCCTTGAAAAAGCGTCCTTAAAAATCTCAGCCTATAGTCCTTCAAAATCGTCCTTAAAAATCAACGTCTATAGACCTTGAAAAAATATCCTTAAAAATCAACGTTCGTCCTTGAAAAAATGTCCTTAAAAATCTACGCTTAAATTCCTTGAAAATAATGCCCTTAAAAATCTACGCCTATAGTCCTTGATAAACGAATGTCCTTAACAATCTAGCCTATAGTCCTTGATAAACGAATGTTCTTAAAAATCTACGCCTATAACCCTTGAAAAAATATGTCCCTAAAAATCTACGACTATAGTTCTTGAAAAAATATGTCCTTAAAAATCTACGCCTATAGTCTTTGAAAAAATATGTCCTTAAAAATCTAAGCCTAAAGTCCTTGAAAAAATATGTCCTTAAAAATCTACGCCTAAAGTCCTTGAAAAAATATGTCCTTTAAAATCTACGCCTATATTCCTTGACAAAAATGTCCTTAAAAATGTACGCCTATAGTCCTTGAAAAGCAATGTCCTTAAAAATCTACGTCTATAGTCCTTGAAAAAATATGTCCATAAAAATCTACGCCTATAGTCCTTGAAAAAAAATGTCCTTTAAAATCCACGCCTATAGTCCTTGAAAAAATGTTTTTAAAAATCTACACCTATAGTCCTTGAAAAATGTTCTTAAAAATCTACGCCTATAGTCCTTGAAACAAATGTCCTTAAAAATCTACGCCTATAGTCCTTGAAAAAATGTCCTTAAAAATCGACTCATATAGTCCTTGAAAAAATATGTTCTTAAAAATTTACGCCTATAGTCCTTGAAAAAAATTCCTTAAAAATCCACGTCTATATTACTTGAAAAAAGTATCCTATAGTCCTTGAAAAAATGTCCTTATAAATTAATGTCTGTAGTCCCTGAAAAAAATTCCTTAAAAATTCACTTCTATAGTAATTGAAAAAAGTGTCCTATAGTCCTTGAAAAAATGACCTTAAAAATCAACGCCTAAAGTCCCTGAAAAAAAATTCCCTAAAAATCTACACCTATAGTCCTTAAACAAAATGCCCTTAAAATCAAGTCCTATAGTCCTTGAAAAAAATGTCCTTAAAATTCTACGCCTATAGTCCTTGAAAAAAATGTCCTTAAAATCAACACCTGTAGTCCCAGAATAATGCCTTCAAATATCCGTAAACAATTGTCCTTAAAGTACACGTTTATAATCCTGGAAAAAAGTCCTTAAAATCCAAAACAAATGTACCTCAAAAAACATTGCCGTTAATCCTTGGAAAACTATATTTAAAAAATCCATAAAAAATATTCTTAAAAATCCTCCCATGTCTTAAAAAATCAAAAAATATTGTCCTTAAAATTCATGCCAATATTAATTGAAAAAATCCTTAAAGCATTGTCCTTAAAAATCCACGCTTATGCTCTGGAATAAAATGCTCTTGGAAATGCTCTTTACTCCTTAAAATCCCTAAAAGTTGTCTATAAAAGTCCTCGCCTTTAGTCCTTAAAAGCTGTATTTAAAAAATCTCAAACTTTTTCTTTAGAATCTGCACCTATATTCCTTGAAAAAATTTTTAATAAATGTCCACAAAAATACACACCTTAGTCCTTCAAAAAATCCTTAAAGAGGTGTCCTTTAAAATCTATTGAAAAGTTACATTAGAATACGTAAAAAATTGTCCTTAAAAAATCACGCACACAGTCCTTCTTTTCAGCAACCACGATTTTTTAGAGATTCAAAACCATTGAAAAATTTCTTAAAACATCACGCCTGTAGTCCCTGAAATGTCATAAAAAATGTCCTTAAAACACTCCACTTTGGTGTTTTAAGATTCGTGAAAATGTCCTTTATGTATATTTATTGCCTTTTAAAAACGTCCTTAGAAAACCTTAATGTTTATATTTTTTAAAAATCTTAAAAAATGGTCCTTAAAAATCCACATTTATAGTACTTACAAGCCTGCCCCTAGTTGGTACTTGAAAGTCCTTGAAAATGTTTTAATTTAAAAATCCACACCTACAGTCTTTGAGAATCATTAAAAAATATATTTCAAAACCACAGCCTTTTTGATGCCTGAAAATATTTAAAAAATGTTCTATAAAAAATCCACACCCATAATTTTTATTTTTTAAAGGTCCTTAAAAACATTTTACGCTTCTGTGAGTTCTAAAAATATTTCCAAAAAATGTCAGGCTTATGTGAGTTGTCGAGATTTCCTTGAGAATGTCACGCCTGTTGTTTGTTTGCAAAAAATTGTCCTTTGGTGCTTCCATCACCGTTTGTGATAGGTTTTTGTTTCTGATAGAATTTTCTTCGGTGCGTGCTTAGTCCAGACACAAACAAAATGGTTTCATTTGAATTGGCGACAATATTTCCTATTGGGTATGGGCTGTGTTTAGTACTCAAACATATGTCATTTCCTTAGCTGTGTTCAGTAGCTAAGACAAGAGCCAATGATGTGTTCAGTAGATAAGTACACAACCCATACAGAGGCTACTAAATGTAAACATGATAAGGCCATATTTACACGTGATGTAAAAACGGTTTCATGTCAATCTCCCATTCATATGAGATTGTATATGTGTGTATTGTGAATGATTATTTAGCTAAGTCAAACACTCAGTGCGAATTAATTTGGAGTCACTCTGCTAAGAGAAAAATCTGAATGAGCGAGAGAGAGAGTAAATTAGAGAATAAAGATATTAGTCGTTTTCCGCACCATATAAACAGCTGTTTATATTTGAATTTAAATGTTTCATAATAAAACAGTTGAGAACGAAAAAATTATTACTGAAAATGAGACAATTTTTTATAAAACCAATTTTTTCTAGTATTGTGATTTATAAAAAAGATTCCTTATATATTTTCAATAAAATATACAAAAAAATTATTTACAAGCAATTTTAAACGAATTTTTTTCTCCCCCTCTTTCAGATTGCCTCCGATGTTCGCACGCTATATGAGATTTTCTGCAAATTCAAGGCAGTCATTGTTGATCCCGCCGAATTTGCGTGCCTTAAGGCCATTGTGCTATTTCGGCCAGAGACAAGGGGTCTCAAGGAGCCGGCACAAATTGAAAATTTACAAGATCAGGCACATGTAAGTAAAGGAACTTTAACAAATTTATAATAATTAAAAAAAAATAAAAATTAATTTCTTCGTCTTCTTTTAGGTTATGTTGGCACAGCACACCAAATCGCAGTTTACCGCGCAAGTGGCCCGCTTTGGACGTTTACTGTTAATGTTGCCACTGCTGCGAGCAATCAATTCACATAAAATCGAACTGATTTATTTTCAAAGGACCATTGGTAATACACCGATGGAAAAGGTCCTTTGCGATATGTATAAAAATTAATTAAAAAAATATATTTAAATGTATTTAATTAAAAAAAAAATAATTTATTGCAATTTTATAGTTATCATAACTGTTACCATATTGAATGATGTAATTTTAAACTAAACTAAAAAATAAAATAAATAACGATTATTAAGTGGATATAAATAAAGAAAATTAAAAATGAAATACAATCATATTTCTACTTTTACTTTTGTGGAACATTTCTTTGAAGAAATTGAAAATTATTTTTTAAAATATAAACGTCTGGTAAAGACCTTAAAAATATGCTTTAAAAAATCCACGCCTTATATAGACCCTGAAAAATATGGTTTAAAAAATCCACGCCTTATATAGATCCTGAAAAATATGGTTTAAAAAATCCACGTCTTATATAGACCCTGAAAAATATGGTTTAAAAAATCCACGCCTTATATAGACCCTGAAAAATATGGTTTAAAAAATCCACGCCTTATATAGACCCTGAAAAATATGGTTTAAAAAATCCACGCCTTATATAGACCCTGAAAAATATGGTTTAAAAAATCCACGCCTTATATAGACCCTGAAAAATATGGTTTAAAAAATCCACGCCTTATGGTAGGCCCTGAAAAATATGGTTTAAAAAATCCACGCCTTATGGTAGGCCCTGAAAAATATGGTTTAAAAAATCCACGCCTTATATAGACCCTGAAAAATATGTTTTAAAAAATCCACGCCTTATATAGACCCTGAAAAATATTGTTTAAAAAATCCACGCCTTATATAGACCCTGAAAAATATGGTTTAAAAAATCCACGCCTTATGGTAGGCCCTGAAAAATATGGTTTAAAAAATCCACGCCTTATGGTAGGCCCTGAAAAATATGGTTTAAAAAATCCACGCCTTATATAGACCCTGAAAAATATGGTTTAAAAAATCCACGCCTTATATAGACCCTGAAAAATATGGTTTAAAAAATCCACACCTTATATAGGCCCTGAAAAATATGGTTTAAAAAATCCACGCCTTATGGTAGGCCCTGAAAAATATGGTTTAAAAAATCCACGCCTTATGGTAGGCCCTGAAAAATATGGTTTAAAAAATCCACGCCTTATATAGACCCTGAAAAATATGGTTTAAAAAATCCACGCCTTATATAGACCCTGAAAAATATGGTTTAAAAAATACACGCCTTATATAGACCCTGAAAAATATGGTTTAAAAAATCCACGCCTTATATAGACCCTGAAAAATATGGTTTAAAAAATCCACGCCTTATATAGACCCTCAAAAATATGGTTAAAAAAATCCACACCTTTTATATAGACCCTGAAAAATATGGTTTAAAAAATCCACGCCTTATATAGACCCTGAAAAATATGGTTAAAAAAATCCACGCCTTATATAGACCCTGAAAAATATGGTTTAAAAAATCCACGCCTTATATAGACCCTGAAAAATATGGTTTAAAAAATCCACGCCTTATATAGACCCTGAAAAATATGGTTAAAAAAATCCACGCCTTATATAGACCCTGAAAAATATGGTTTAAAAAATCCACGCGTTATATAGACCCTGAAAAATATGTTTTAAAAAATCCACGCGTTATATAGACCCTGAAAAATATGCTTTAAAAATATAGATATAGACCCTGAAAAATAGCTTTCCATTGAGTGGAGTCAAAAAACTGGGTTTTGGTCCCCGATTTTTCCGAAAAAAGTTTAACTTGGGTCCATTATAGCCCCTCTACAACCCTGACTCAAGGAAATTCTGTCGAGTAGCCGATGTTGGTATCTGTCCATAGGAGGAAGTCTTAAATACCCGGCCGAAGGCCGGCTACACAAGGACAATATTCTATTTAGAAGGAGTTACTGTCGCGTAGCCGGTGTTGGTATCAGTCCATAGGAGAAAGTACTAAATCCCCGGCCGAAGACTGGTCACCCAAAAAACTATTCTATTTAACAAGAGATTTTGTCGCTTAGCCGATGTTTGTATCTGTCCATAGGAGAAATCTTAAATACCCGGCCGAAGGCCTGTTACACGAAAAAATATTCTATTTAAAATGATTTTCTGTTGCGTAGTCGGTATATCTATATGTCCATAGGTGAAAGTCTTAAAATCCCGGCCGAAGGCCAGTCAGCCAAAAATAAACCATGATATATATAAAAGGAGATTCTGTCATGTAGAAAGATATTCCTTGTTTTTACAGAGTTCTGAGGCCGGTATCTGTTGATCCACAACAGATACAGCCACATATCGCACGATTTTGGGAAGAACAAATTGTGGTCTATCATTTGAGTCAGGATTGGAGATGGACTATAATGGACGCAAGTTCGACTTTTAGGGAGTTTTTCCCAAAAAGCCACTCAATGGAAAGCTATGTTTATGACCTTTAAAATGATACCTATTTTATATTAACCGGATCCGTAGAACCGGATATAACCGGGTACACGTACCCGAACTTCCGCGTAACCGGTTACGTCCCCCAAGAAAAAAGATATCCCCATAATTAGGGTAAAAATACCTCCTCTGGAAAAAAAATCAGAAAAATCTGATCGTTTTTACAATACTAGAGTTGTTCCAAATATTCTTTAAAAAATCCACGCCTTGTGTAGATCCTTTAAACAATATTCTTAAAAAATCCATATCTTTATTTTTTATTATTAAAAAAATTCACCCTTTTACCCCACTGTGTTTTATTTTTGTTTACGTGTAATGCAGAGTTGTATTTAACTGTCATCTTTAGTTTCATATTCTCACCATATGCCCCCCATACAACAGAGCCATCTACCAGCCAATGGCTAAACCACACATTCACACACATTTGTTTTGATGTGAGAGCCAGCCAGCAATGAGAGAGAGCGTGCCAGTGCCTGAGCGCCAAAAAAGATAATTGCGATAAAGTATCTATCTGTGCAAAAAGGACCGTAAGCAGCCTTAAGTGTTATTTTAGACGTCAATCGGGTGAAAAGCAACAAAGTTATTTTGTGTCGTGAAATTGGGCAAATAACTAAATTTCAGTGAAAATTATTTCCAAAAAAGATGTGAAAATTATTGAAAATAATAAATGTAAATGGAAAATATAGAAAGTTTGCTGAAAAGAAAGAAATTTATGCGGTAAAAAAACAAGTGCAAAACGAAGTTTGCAAGTGTGCCGTCGTCGCGGACAGGCGAATGTGTGTGTGCGTGCAGTCGTCTTCGTTTGTGTGTGCCGAAAAAATCAAGGCAGCCAAACAACAAGGAAGCAACCACAACAAAAAAATGTAACATTGCGTTCGGGGTGGGGGGAAATGGTTATTAGGCAAAAATAAAGTGGCGAAAAAAATACACCGCCGGAATGTGAGATGTGCGGTCTGCGATGCTGCTGATGATGATGTGCGGGTACATTGTGTGTTGTGTGGAACGAAAATAACAAAGGCAACAACAACAACAAAAAGTGTAACATAAATTTACAAGATACAATGTGTACTGTTCATGTTTCTTGTTGTTGTTGTCGCGATATGCAGCATAATGTAAAAGAAGAAGAAGAAATGAAACAGAAGAAGAAGCAATAACAAAAAAATACGAAGAGGAAATCTTGCTGACAATGTTATTGTACGTGTTGTCCATGGAACGGATGCTGGATGGCTGCTGCTGGTGTTTGTAATTCGCAATACGTGTAAAAATAATAATAACAATAACAAATGCATAAAAGATGAAACACAACAACAAAAGAATAATAATAAAGGAAATTTGGCAATTCTTGCAGTGGAAAATAAATAAATAAAAAAAATTTTGTGCTAAATTTTTATTCGATAATGGGCAGAGAGATTTCTTCCTGTTTTCACAATACAAGAACAACAACAACAAAATTTGATTATCTGCAATACTAGCTGGGAGAAATAATAATAAAAATGTGATTATCTGCCTGAAAGAATTAATAACAAAAATGTGCTAAATTTTGGATATCCTCAGAGCTATTCTCCATCTTCGGATAATATAAAGAAAGAAGAAAAACCACAATAACAACAAAATTTGGATACCAGCAAATTTTGGCTGGAAGAAATAAATATTTTTTGTGTGAATTATTTTTTCTTTTATGACCTCAGAGAGATTCTTCCTTATCGCGGGCGTCTGTCATTCAATCCAGCATCTCGTTCCTCTTTTTTAGTGGGGCTAACGGGCGGTCATACAATCGGTCGGTAGTGCGTGTGTTTGTGTTCCGTGATAACTCGTAAAAATTTCGTTTTGGGATAAATAAAAATTTAGTGTTTACAATAAAACCACAAATACAAAAACGAAAGAAAAAACAACAACAATAAAAAAATACAAATTACAACAACAATTTTTTCTATTTCCATGATTTTTAAAAATATTTTTAATTTATTAATTTTTATGAAAAAAATGTAGCACTACATCATCGTAAAATAACAACAACACCATTACATTTTGCGCAATCATAATCATAAAAAAACCACCAAAATAACAACAAAACATGTAAAGAAATATTCCAATCATTGCATATTTGCGAAATCAAACCAAAAAAATCATGAAAAAACAAAAACATTGTTTATCTGCATAGTTTTTTTTATTCTATTTTCCCTTTATTGTTAGTGTAATTCTGTGTTGTAACAGTGTGTGTGTGATGTTGTTGCTCTTCTTCTTCTTCGTGTTCATCTCCAATGAGAATCGCTGTAACCTGTGTAGTATAACGGCCTCCTTCAACAGTGTTCTCCCCCCATCAACAACAGCAATAACAACAACAACTACAACAGTAGCATCACTCACATAATATCATAATTATCTCTCTCGCATTTCTGCGAAATCAAACCAAAAAAATCATGAAAAAAACAAAAATATTGTTTATCTGGATAGTTTTTTATTCTTTTTTTCCTTTTATTGTTAGTGTAATACCAGTGTTATAACTGTGTGTGTGTTTGGTTGTTGCTGTTCTTCTTCTTCGTGTTCATCTCTAAAGAGAATCGCTGTAACTCGTGTAATATAACGGCCTCCATCAACAGTGTTCTCCCCCATCAACAACAGTAATAACAACAACTACAAC